GAAGCAAGGGACAGACATAGCCCCGCTGCCATACCAGCTTTTTAACTCAACTGAATGCCCCACGAACCCGGCCCAGATTCCTGTCTACCCTCGGCCGGGCTCTGCATGAGCAAGGTCACACGCTGGCGCAGTTCCTGCTCTCCTCCAAGCCCTGCAGTCTGCGTCAGCTACCCACTCTCAAGTGAAGGACACTCACGTCCCTCACAGAAGGGTGTGCTCTGACCGGCCCTGGTAACAGTAGGCAGCCACGTGGGCTGAGCAGCAGAAAACACAGAGCAGCCCGCTCACCCTGACCGCTGTTCTGCCGTCCTGCCATTACTGGGTCCACATTGAGGCCTGCAGATGCCCTGCACAGGCCTGCAGAGGACTCCCTCAAACACTACCCAGAATTCTGCATGAAAGGCCCCTAGAAAGAGTCAGGGACACTGAGGCCATTCTGTTCCCTCCTGCTTTCCTGGCACCTACGGCAGAGAGTGACTACACTGTCCTGTGCTCAGTCAGGTCTGTGCTTCCAACTAGGAAATAAGGTTTTAATCCCCAACTGAGAAAGCCCCAGCATTGTTTAGTAAGCCAGTTTAGCCTGCATCTGTGTCTTAGCACAGTTTATGTAATGATAAATTCATTGCTAATAAAGAAACCATTTATGACCCTATAAGGTTTGAGTTTTAACTGCAGAAATGAGGTGTTATGGTTTTACAGCCTACTGGAAAAGATTAATCTCAAAGAAGTATGATTTTGTTGTCCTATGGAGTATTAACCAACTAATTCATCAATGTTATTGAGTCATTCCTTTCCCTATGAACTACATAAATATCTATTCCTTAAATCCTCTTCTTTTTTTAAGATTTTATTTATTTATGCATACAAGAACTGGCGTACAGCCAGAGGTGTGTGAGGTGAGCGGATCCCCCAGAGACAGAGCGGGGAAGAGAACAGGCAGACTGACTGAAATGCACTGCTGAGGGAAGCAGCGGGCGAGACAGGAGAGGTCTGCTGCGCCATGTGGGTCAGCTCCCTGGCTGGGGATTGAACTCATGCTGCAGTGGCAGCGGATAGTTTCATAGGTTGCTTCTTAACCCCCTGCACCACCAGAAAGTCCCCCCTTAAATCCTCTTAAAACCAGCTCTTTGTGGCATTCTTAGTAACAGTTCTCAATAAAACTTTGAAAAATGCTCGCAATCTATTTGAGAAATTTGTTTTTTAAAACTATTCATTCAAAAATTACTCAAAACCAAATATATTGTTAGGAAGGAAGGCTGTGTGTGTCAGTCCATTTGTGTATGCACGTATGTGTATTTACATGGAAAGTTTACTTTAAAACACAAAAGGAAGCTTAACAAAAACAAAAAATCAGGATAAAGACTACCTCTGGAAGATGCAAATATTTTGTTTCTTAATCTGGCAGTGGATACAATGACAATCACTGCCATTGTAATCTTTAATTTAAATGTACCTGAGACACATCACAATAAAAGTTTAGAATTTCTATTACCCTAGGATGTTTGCGGGATGACAAGAGGCTAGTTCACAAAATATGCCTCTTCTCCTTTTTTCTTCCTCAAGGTCTCTCCGTTCCTTGCTGCCAACCAAGTCAAATGTGTCAATACCAACATAAAGTCAACTAAGTGTTAGGTGATAACAAAGTTAATAAATTCACCATTATTTAATCTAGTCCTCAACATTCTCTCCACCTAGTCTCTAACGGTAAAAAGACACAAATTCTTTGAAATGCATTTAAATCAAACAGTCTTAGCTACTGCCTTTAAATTATAAAACCTTTTAAAAATCTTTGCACTCCAGTCAACTCTGATAAGGGACTGATCACAAAGATATATAAAGAACTCACACGACTCAACAAAAACAAAATAAACAATCCAGTCAAGAAATGGGCAGAAGAACCTAAAAGACATTTCTTCAAAGAGGAAATGCAAATGGCCAACAGGCATATGAAAAAATGTTCCAACATCTCTTATAATCAGGGAAATGCATATTAAAGCCACACTGAGATACCACCTTACACCAGTGAGAATGGCACGTATCAAAAAAACAAGCAACAACAAATGTTGGTGAGGATGTGGTGAAAAAGGAACTCTCCTGCATTGCTGGTAGGAGTACAAACTGGTCCAACCACTGTGGAGAGCTGTCTGGAGGCTCCTCAGTCTACTAAAAATGGAGCTACCATTCGACCTGGCAATTCCACTCCTAGGAATCTACCCAAAGGACAGAAACATTGATTCCTATGTTTACTGCAACACTGTTTACAACAGGTAAAACCTGGAAACAACCCAGATGTCCAAAAATAGATGGGTCAAGAAGATGTGGCACATATACACAATGGAATATTATTCAGCAATAAAAAAGATAAACTCATGCCATTCCAGCAACGTGGATGGAACCAGAAGGAATTATGCTCAGTGAAATAAGCCAGAAGGAAAAAGATATCGGATGGTTTCACTTATAGCAGGCATATAGGGGAACCAAATAAGACATCAGTGTAAAAAAACATTAACAGTACAAAACACAACAAAGCAAAAATGGACAATTATAAACCAGAGACATCCTGCAGGGGAGGAGGCGGGAGAGGGATCAGAGAGAGGGAGGGAGGAGCCCAGGGGACTGAGGTGATGGTGCACAGGTGCACTGGTGAAGGAAACTCTAGGGGGACTACACCTGAGGGGGTGGGGGGAATCAAATATTGTTTAAAAATGAATAATGATGTAAACAAAAAAATAAATAATTATAAAACATTTTAAGGTATAAAAAGGTTTCTGCTCCCTTTCACATCGGGGCAGTACAGAATGGCTCTCCCAACATAAGGTAGCCAGAAGAAGGGCCATTCTGCTGTTAACCAACTAGTGACCAGAGAATACACCATCCAATTCACTAGCACATCCACACGGTGGACTTCAAGAAGCATGCCCCTCCAGCATCTGGAAATTTCAATAAAGAAAGAGGGTACTCCAGATGTTCACACAGCTCAACAAAGCTATCTGGGCCAACAGAATAAGGAATGTCCCGAATGGTAGCCATGTGCAACTGTACAGAAAACAAACTACACTTGTTTCCTATCTACCTATCTACCTGCCACAACTTAAAAAAATCTACAGTCAGTGTGAACGAGAACTAACCACTGATTACCAAAGTTATAAAACTGCAAAATATAAAACAAAAAGGTTTCTGGTGAAGAGGGCAATGAATGTATGTCCAAGTCCACACAACAATCTATTCAAATTATCTACCTGAAAATTACCCTACCATGCATGCCCAAAGGATTTTAAGCGATGTTTTTTAATATTTAAACCCTTGAAATGACCAAAATGTCCATCAGCTCAGGAGGATAAACTATACTGAAGTACACACAGCCAAACAATGGCAAACTATGCATTTTTTTAATGAGGCAGGTCCACAGGTACTGATGAGGAAATGTGATACTATTTTAAGTCAGTTGTCCAAGAGTTCTGGCACCACCTCCTCCTAGGGATGGTGCTGAGGATGTGAAGGAGGAAAAGTCAAGAAACAAGTAATTCTAACTTTTACTTGATATATCTCTGTGCCGCTTTTATTTTTTTTTATTCTGAAATGGTTAAAAAACAAACCCCTGAATATAGTTCTGCTATCATTTAAAAGGAGCAAATGGGAGGCAAATATTGTTTTAAAAATGAACAATGATGTAAAAAATAAAAAATTTTATTGAAAAAATAAATAAAAGGAATAAAATAAAAGGAGCAAATGGGGCCTCCCTGGTGGTGCAGGGGTTAAGACGCAACCTATGAAGCAACCTGCAGCCTCTGCAGCGCAAGTCTGATCCCCGGCCAGGGAGCTACCCACATGGCACAGCAGACCTCTCCTGTCCAGCCCGCTGCTCCCCTCAGCAGTGTACTTTGGTCAGTCTGCCTGTTCTGCTCCCCACTCTGTCTCTGGTGGATCCCCTCACCCTCCCGCACATCTGCCCTGTACCCCAGTTCTTGTACGCAAAAATAAATAAATCTTTAAAAAAATAAAAAATAAAAGGAGCAAATAAGGATACGATAATAAGATGGCATTCTTTACCTTCCACTCCAGAAGCGAATGCTGACAGCTCAGCCAGCCAAGGCCGCCCGACCCCGCGGGACAGGAGGGGCAGCGGAGGGTGTGTCTCGGGAAGAGGAAAACCCCATCCTCCCTCTGCTCTCCAAAAACCTGCTTTTCCTGCCACACCAATATTGAAGGTAACTTTGATTTTCATTAAGGACGAAGTCTCGCAACACTATCATCGGCAAGATAACTCTGTGTGTGTGTGTTTTTTAAATGTCCCACGTCTAAAACCTGAAGATGAGGGAAAAGCGTGACAAATGTGGAGCAAGGATTTCGGGAGGCGCCGACAAAGGGGACTGAAAAGTGCAGGGCGGTGAAGCGCCTGAAGAAGAGGCGGGACACTCGGAAGAGAGAAACGAATGTCTTCGACAGAACAGGATTATAACTGGCTCCGATCGGAGGCTTGAACACGCACGTGCACACACACACTCACACACACACACACACTCACGCACACTCACACACCCGCACCCGGGAGGGCGCGAGCGCGGTCCACCCGCCTCCACGTCCCCGGCAGACCTAGAAGCCCGCAGGGCGGACCCCGAGGCCCGCGGGGGGCCCCCCCAGTCCCCCCGCGCACCCCTCGGGGCGGGCAGCGCTGCCCCGGCCTGCGCGGACCCGACGCTGCGAGATGAACCCCCAGAAACGCGGGTCGTCCGCGTCCCGCCCCCCTCGGCACCGACTCTCGGGGACGGTCCGCCGAGACCCCCGCGCCCGACGACACCCCCAGCCGGCTCCCCCCCCGCGCGGCCCCCCCCGCCCGCGAGCGCCGCGTCCCGGGGGCGCCCGAGGCCCTCCCCGCCGGGCGGCGCCGGGCACCGGGGAGACCGGCCGGGCGCGCCGCCCTCGCAGGCCGGGCGCCCCTCCCCGCGCGCGGGCGGCGGCGCGAGCCCCTGGGGCGCCGGAGCCCCGCCGGCCGCACTCACCGGCCCCCCGGCGCCCACGCCGACCCCCGGCGCGCTGCGGGGCGGGCGGCGTCCTCCGTCCACCTCAGCGGAGCCGCGGCCGGCGTCGGCGTCGGGCAGCGGCGCGGGCGAGGGCGCCGCGGGGGCGGGGCGCGACGCCGTGCGCGCCCGCCGACCAATCGGCGCGCCGAAAGTGGCGGCCGGGCGGGGCGGGGCGGGGCCTGTCTCCGGGGCGGGGCCTGTCGCCGGGGGCGGGGCCGGTGCCCAGGCTCTGCGGACCTGCGGGCGCGGCCGGCTGCTCCGGGCAGCTGCGAATCCGCGGCCGCCAGCGCTGGCCGCCCTGTGGTTTTCCGGGCGGCGGCCAAACTCTGGTCCCAGCACGCTGCTTCTGCCCAAGGGCAGAATTCGTGAGATCGTGCGCGGAGGGCACACAAAACCCCTGGGCTCGGACTCCGCCTGTAGGCCCAGCCGCGTTGACCTCAGAGCTGCCCAGAGTAGGGCTCGGACTCCCGCAGGGTCTCAGAGATGCACGTCCCTGGGGGCGCCAGGGGTTAAGAGTCAGCACTATGAAGCTGTCAGCAGCCGCTGCAGCAGGAGCTCAGGCCCCAGCCAGGGAGCTACCCACACGGCGCAGCAGACCTCTCCTGGCTCCACACATGCACGCACCTCTGGCCTGTATCCCAGTTCTTGCATGCATGCATAAATAAAATCTTCCAAAAAAAAAAAAAAAAGGCAAGTCAAGAGAGACTCCTTTTCTAATCCCAGCCATTCACAAGTGGCTGGCTAGAAAGGTTGAAGTTCCTCCTCCAGGGATACGAACTAGTACTGGTAACACAACAACTGGTTTTCTGATTGTGCCCTGTTGTTTTTTTCTCGTTCTTTACCCAGATTTTTTACTTTCTTAGAGTCTGGTCTCTTCCTACTGTGTCCTTTAAAGATACTGGATCATAAATTCCTAGCACAACTTCAGTAGACTATGAAAGCCCCTTCCAAATTTCTTACAGAATATAAAACACCACTTAGTTGTTTGGGGAAGAGGCACTGTGTAAAGACAGATATTATAAATGGGAATCTTAAAACTTTATCCCTAGGTATAATGAAATTGTCCCCAATTATCGCAAGATGTCATTTTCTTATTCTTCTGTTACTTCCACAAATCTTGTAAGAGGAACAATCCTATTTTTTTGTTGTTTTCTATTCTTCCTCACTTCATTTCATGGATGCTAGTTTTCATTTATGTTTTGTCACTTGGCAAGTAATACATTTATAGTTACAATATCCATCATCTTGATGCATGTGCTAGGATCTGGGTGCTCATAAATATTTGTTGACTGAATTACTTTTGAAATACGTACAACCTTAAAACTAGTTAAAGATATTGGGATTAGGAAACTGATGCCAGCATTTCATTACCAGCATTGATTTGAGTAAAATTGCAAATCAGCCTAAAAAAAAGTCGTGGGACATGCCCTGATTCAACTGATATTCCACCATGTAGAGCTACCTAAGCATATGTTTTGTTAAATTTCTGCATCTAAAGACATCAGAGAGGGCCTCCCTGGTGGCGCAAGGGGTTAAGTGTCAGCACTATGAAGCTCTCTGCAACTACTGCAGCACATGTTCAATCCCTGGCCACAGGTGACCCACATGGCACAGCAGACCTCTTCTGTCTCGCCCGCTGCTCCCCTCAGCAGTGTATTTCAGTCAGTCTGCCTGTTCTGTTCCCCACTCTGTCTCTGGTGAATCCTCTCACCCCCCGCACCTCTGGCCTATACCCCAGTTCTTGTGTGCATAAATAAATAAATCTTAAAAAAAAAAAAAAAGGCATCGGAAAGGCTTGCCTGGATTCAGGAGTCATTGTGATTTCAAGACCATTTTCAGGACACATTCTAAAAAGACCTAGTTCATTTGAAAGTGGAGACTTAGAATCCAGTCTAGCTGGTACAACCTGCAAAGGGAGAAGAGCAATCGGGGCTGTCCTTCCCACGAGGCCCCATGGGTTTTGCTTTGTTCTTACTTCCTCAGGGCTGCTTTGTGAACTTACTCTGATGAAGTGAGGTTCACTTCCCATTTTTGAGAGTGCACCCCAAATGTGAACCACAGGAGCTAGGTGAAAGACTGAAGCATGTTGTCGAGACACATACTTCACGGTGTTTCTCTTCCTCCTCAAGCTTATGCACTTGTGTAACAAGACTTATGCATACGTGTCAGAACCATTGTTAGTGTCAGTCTCTTGGGGGACAGACTGGTCTATAGACAGGAATGGCCACTGCAGCTGGAGGATCACTGGGTTCTGGCCAAAGAGGAAGCACTTCTAAGGGCAGGCTAAACTCTGAACACAGAGGATATTTTTGTTGGTTGGTTTATTTTAATTTACAATTAAAAGAGAAAATACACCACAGACTGACTTAAATAATAAACAGGATTCAGTGACTCAGGGAATCAGAAGGTAAGCAACATGGTGGGCTTCAAGGCAGGGGTGTGTCATCTCTTTGTTGAGTCTTCTGCAGAACTGGCTTCTTTCTGGGGCTGACTCCCCTTCTGGTTGCCAGAAGTTGGTGGGCCTAAAGTCCTCCTTGCTCAAATCCAGCAAAAAACTCTTCTCTGATTGGACTACCCAGGAACCTGACCCCTAAGCCCCACAAACTGTCCAGCAGTGAGGGCTTTAAGCTAGGGTACCCAAAGCAATCACAGGTACAAACCATGACTCTGCTCTATGAGACCCGATATTAATTCCCTTGCTGTAACTATCTTACAATGTCCCTTAGTTATCTTGAAATGGGACTTTTGGGAAATGTAACCTACCCATGCACAATTTTTTTTAAAATATCTGCAGGTGCCCTAACTGTAATATAAGAGAAATAGAAAAGAAAGAACGCACAGGGGCCTCCCTGGTGGCACAAGGGGTTAAGGCACAGCCTATGAAGCTATCCACAGCCATTGAAACATGAGTTTGATCCCTGGCCAGGGAGCTGATGCATAAGGCGCAGCGGACCTCTTCTGTCTCTCCTGCTGCTCCCCTCAGCAGTGTATTTTGGTCGATTTGCCTGTTCTGCTCCCCACTCTGTCTCTGGTGCATCGTCTCACCACCTGTACCTCTGGCCTATACCCCAGTTCTTGTATGCATAAATAAATAACGCTTTTTTAAAAATACCAGCTTTGATGGTATTTTAACATGTAAATGAGCAAACAGGATTACACTAGAGGACTATGGGAAGGAGTCAGATGCTTGCATCCACTTAAATAAATTTGGATTGAGGGACAGTAAGAAATCAGAATGTCTTCTTAATAAAAAAGTGCAGAAAAAATGGGGCCTCCCTGGTGGGGCAGTGGTTAAGCCGCTGTGCTATGAAGCTATCAGCAGCCACTGCAGCGTGAGTTCAATCCCCGGCCAGAGAGCTAACCCACATGGCACAGCAGACCTTTCCTGTCTTGCCTGCTGCTCCCCTCAGCAGTGTGTTTCAGTAGATCTGCCTGTTCTGTTTCCTACTCTGTCTCTGGTGAATCCTCTCACCCCACACACAGACCTCTGGCCTGTACCCCAGTTCTTTTATGCATAAATAAAATAAATCTTAAAAAAATGAAATACCTCCAAACTCTTCTTGTGCATATTTGCATTTATCACTCCAGATGCAAATTGTAATAACTGTGTAGTATTGGTAATTCAGATGCCATGGGTTATGGCGCCATTGGTAATGTTTTTCTGAAATGGTGTAATGTGAAGAATTACACTTCAAGAATGTGAAGTACCATTTTCACAATAGTTACATTTGTGTGTAGTGGGGAGTGGGAATAGCATATTTCAAATCATACAAAAAACATTTTTTGTTTATATATAAAATACAATCCTGTTCTGGGCTTATGTGATTACAAGCAGACTTTTTACCCACATGAATGTCTGGTGGGATGTTTAAATGTTAGGCAAGACCAATTCCTCTTTTTGGTCAATTGTCCTGCACATTGCAAAATACCATCATCCTGGCTCCACCTCCTAAATGCCTGTGGTCAGAGCTGATGTTCGATATAGCTAACATTTAGGATGGCATGCACTTAGCAAGCAATGGATGGCAGCAGCACAATGTGTTGGTCCCCGTGGGCTAAATAGAATCTCTACCAGTCCTGCCAGGAATAGTCCCCCACCAGTTTCCAAAATGTCCTCTGGGGGGCAGTAAGGCACTCTCTGACAACCCCTGATTAGTGCTGAGGACACCACCCTGCCCCCAGCATTTCCTGTTCATCCTGGCTAAGGATTACAACAATCCAGCAAGTTGGATCTAATTATGTGTATTTGACAGATGAGAAAACAAGCTCAAGTTCATATAACTAGTGAGTGGCAAAACCTACATCTGAATGCATATCTCCCCTTGCTCCAACACCCACTCCCTTTCCGAAGTATCACTTGTTTCACCCTCACTGGTGTTAGAGGCAGCCAGGGCTGCCAGGACTTTCAGGGAGATGGAGCACAAAAATGACCATCCAGCTATAAAACACACTGAATCTGTTATAGGGCAACCCCGATATTAAACGGGTTCCTGGCTGTGGGTCCTCACCCGCGCGCTTTAAAGGGACTTATGAATACTCCACTACAGACACACACAAAAGCTTAATAAAAGGTTTATTTACAAGAGAAAAGGAAATAAGGAAAATGTACAACTCAGGGAGAAAATAGGGAAATAAAGTAATGCGTCCTACCCGATCCGACGACCTGGAAACCCAAAGGCACTCTCAGAGCTGGCCGGATGCTGAGAGCTGGTGGAGAGCCCAAAATGGGGTCCCCCAAAACCCACGTGTCTGCCTTTTGTATCCACCTGGCTGCTTAACCCCACCCTCAGGTCCCAGCCACCTTCCCTTGGGTGGTGATGGGATTTGGAGTTCCCAGTGTCTTTGGCTTTGACCTGGGGTGGGGGTGGAGTCCACAAAGCCTATATGGAAATAGCTTTGGGACATCCTTTTCCCCCTAACAATTCCAGGACAGTCCAGGGATCTCAGCACCAAAGATTCTTGAATTTTCACTCCGGAGGCTGTCACTGATGTGATCTGTTCTAGTCTACTCTGTGCCAAGGTCACAGTGTAGTGTG